TGTGTGTGTGTGTGTGTTTTATGTGTTTGTGTTTGAGGTGTTCTTGCTAACTTCTGTCATGTGTGTGTGTGTGTGTGTGTGTGTGTGTGTGTGTGTTATATGTGTTTGTAATTTGAGGCGTTCCTGCTAACTTATGTTGTGTGTGTTGCTTTTTTTTATATCATAGACAATCATCTGACATTGAATCGAGTGAAGTCTGGGAGCCAGTCAGCAAAAAGCCATATATTGAGGGACATGATGACAGCACCTCTGAAAAAAATCTTAAAAAACACTATAATGTGTTTATGCTTCAGTTACTATATGTCAGCAATTATTGACAGTGAATCTGGATAAGAAATTGAATAGCTCTAAGTGTAACCATTCATTAGAGCTCAAAATTATGACTGTACATTAAAGCATTCAAGAATTACAGCATTTTATGTGTCGTTGGTTACAAAGGGTCATTTGGAGTCTCCAAGTGGCCTTTTTTGGGAAGCGCCTAGACATAAACTTAGATAAACATGTGTAAAACACTCATTTTCTAAGGTATTATCAAATTTGAAATTTGGCTTGGTAAGGCTTCATTCTGTGATCCCATTGAATTTTCCATTTAATAGCTCACAGATATTGTCATCTGCAGGTTTTCTTTTTCCCAAAAAAAATGTAGGCGGATTTTTTTTTTCTTTTTCAGTGTGTTCAAAGTTCTATTACTCAATACCAATAAGACTTACAGTGATTCTGTTGAGGAACACACCTCAGAGTGTCACCTTTCAAAAGAGACCAAAACCATGCATATACTCCAAATGGTTCAAGAACAGCATGCAATTAACTTTGGGTATGCCTTTTTTAGGCGTTTTAGGCAAATTTGACAGAAATGCTAAATTAAACAGCATTCTAATAAATTCCTATCAACCCTTTAAACATGAGGAGTAAGGTCACGGCAGCACATTGATGAAATTTTGCACATTCTTAATAGTAATAGTTATTACTATTAAAAATAGTAATAACCTTGTGAAATAGGAGGTCATATGCACTAATCAGTGGATTTGAATTTCATAAATTTTTAATGAAAAGCAGGAATTTCTTATTACAGCTCTTTGTGTTTAAAGAGAACATAAAATAATCAGTTTAAACTATTAATCATCCACACAGCTTTGATGCATAAATCAAAGAGGCTTAATTTTCCTCAGCTGGTTTCAAGTCTCTGTGTCATACATGTCTTATAAAGCTTTAGCCATACACCGTAGCCCAAAAATGTTTGAACCATTATCTGCACTTGAAAAAATATATGAATGCCATTGCATTAGGTTACATCATATAAACCCAAGTGGCATTTATCTGTAAACATTAGAATGCTTCACAACAGCAGTTTGTTTTAAATTGTAAAAGAATATATATGCTGTTCAGAATAATGACAAAGTATTTGGACATTTTCTGATTGTCAAACAGTAGTAAAACATGTTCATAGTTAATGTAATGAACTACACCTGTGCTTAATGTGCTAGGACACCTGTGTCTGAAGTCTGATATTCTGTCATCAAATGCAATGACAAGGATTGGATGCAGGAAATTCACAAATGAGAGAACGGGAGGGAAACGCTAATGAAACGTATAATAAACCGTGTTTGTTTTTACAGCTTTTGTTATTCACACTCTCTTACTTTCATCCTTGCATGTTTGGTTCAGTACAGATAATTAATTAGACTAAATGCGGTTCTAGCGTCATCTTGCAATTAAATAATTCAGACCATTTAGGGGTTTATAAAACACTGTCGTTGATTTCTGGTGAGGTCATTGAAGTTCCTTGCAAATGTGACAAATGGTTTCTCTCTTTTTTTTTTTTTTTTTTTGCACACTGGGCTTGTGTCCTAAAAACAGCACTAGAATGCATTGCCTTTCCATTATCAGATAAAAAAATCTGCTTTTGGCAGATTATTCAAGCTGGTTAAACTAGGTAGTTAGAGACTTTTTGGAAATCTCTGAGTGTTCCTGGGAAATAAGCCATTTGTCAGTTGAAAACAAGCAGCCACACCCTTTGTGCTGCTTACACAGGCAGCCCATTGCAGACGATTGCTTGAATGATTGTTTGCTTTTCCTCCTGATCTCAAGGAGCCTTTTCTCTCAGCTGCACTGTGATTTTCCACAAGTTAGCCTTGGGGTTTTAATGAAATGTTTGCATTAAACCAAGCCATATTTACTGAGAGCCGTGCAGTGGACCACAAAGGTCTTAGCTGTCTTCATTTTTAATCCGGACTCCTTGTGAAGATCTTGCAATAAGTGCATAAAACCAATTGCAAAGTAAAGAAAAGTGCTGCCTGCCCATGCAGAACTTGCTGCTACAATGCTGGCCTGTTCTGAGTGGTTGCCAGGGTGTTGCTATACGGTTGCTAAGGCATTCTGAGTGGACTATAATGTGGTTTATAGGGTTTTCTGGATGGTGACTTTCCTGTCCTCAAGTCTCTGGTTCTATTTATAATTCAGGTCTCTCCTATGCTTTTGCACACTCTTTATTGTCAGCTAGGTGAAAATTATAAGTCTGATTGCTTTGAAAAATAATAGCACACTTCTTCTCAATAAGCCACATCTTAAATATCACGTTATGTTCTGAAATGGGTTTTTGTTGTGCCTGAGAAGAACCCATAAAAAAAATATTTTTTATAATGTAATGTAATATAAATATTTATATTATAGGTGTAGTTCCATGCCAGTTATTTGGGAAAGCAATGTGTCAAATGTCCTTTGCAGATGTTTGCCTCTAATGTGAAAGATTTCATGGGTTTCAGCACATTTGACAAACATACCTGTCTTTATCTTTGTAAAGATAGACCAGTTTGCACTGTGTGCAGTTATGTTTGGCTTACTCTCTATTACTGCCTTGAACAAGTAAGTAATCCATGTGACCTTGGTATGGCGCCTTGTATTTTTATGCGTCAAGCACTTGATGGCCATTATGAGGCTTTAGTTCCTGGAAGATTTGTTTGTATCGCCTGGATTCTTGTTCACACTACTGCTTTGCGCTCTATGTGCACTTTGCAACATGCTAATGTGTCTCAGAGCTTGGTGTGTCTTACTTTGAAGGAAATGTCACCTTCGTTTGAACCATGACTGAAACTGTTTTTTTTTTTTTGCTTTAACACATTCTTGTTAAAGCATCATGTTTTCTACTCTTTGTTTTCTTTAATGTAGCTACAGGGATTTACAGTTTACAGAGTCTCAGAATTGAATCTTATACCAGGCTTGTGGTAGTCATGTAGATCAAGCCAGCCAAGCATGCTTTTCAAGTCTAGTCTGAGCGGGCCTAGTGTCTGTTTGAAAACTGTGGAGCTTCATTTCTTTTCACCTTCAGTCTTGCTGGCACAAGGCCCAATTCTGTCACCAGACTGCTTTTTGTATTCTCTCAACAAGATGTGTCTTGCTGATAAATCAGTTTTATTTAATGTTGCCATAACCTTGTACACACTTGAGCTGGAGAGACGTGGCAGAATATTTTTGAGCCAAGCAAAGGCACAAAAGATCATGGTCATGGTATATTTTGAGGTATATCTGACACTCACACCAGTTTTTAACCCAAAAATATGAATGTAGAGTTGAGTATGGACAGTAGGGACATGGCCCTACCAAAGTTAAGAGGCTACTGAATAATCCCTGCCATTTCTATTGATCCCAGCTGTGGCTAAATTTAATAAAGCTACTGAATGTAATTCATGTCATGTTTTAATTTGTAAAATTAAGTATTTTATTTCCCGTAAAAAGTACACTTAAGTGTTTCAAAGGACTCTGTCTAGCTCGTGACTGTGCACGGGTTGTTTTGGGAATGATCTAAATGCTGCTTCAGTTCTGAACCCAAACTGCTGTAAATCACAATTTATTTATTGTCCTGTGCCTTTCATCACATCAAAAAAGCTAATTAGAATCTCAAGTTTTCCAAAAATGGTGCATCAGCAAAATTTATTGGTTGGATTGACAAACTATTCTTAAGAATGAAATTCTTCTTAACTCATACCCCCCCCCCC